TGGTCTTCTCAAACTACAACCCAAGACACACACACACACACACACACACACACACACACATAGTTGTTATCATTTGTGTGCAGTGAGGTAAGGGAACAGGGGAGGAGAGTTTTGAGCTGTTAAAAAGGAAACAAGGAAACTCCTCCATAGCTATGGGCCATGCTTTCTTCCCTCCGCACCAAACGCTGCATGCTGTTACAAATGGTAATCGGCTCTGATTGTCACAAATTTCAAAACAAACGCTAGGTGACTGAAAAGCCAAAGTGACGCCCCGAGTGATACTCCGACAGAAAGCCCGAATCAAAGCATGCCGACTATAATTAGGTTCCATCTGGGCTACATTATTTAAAGCCGCACCAGTTAATTGCTTGTGTACAAATGGCCTATTTTATTTGAATCAAACTTTTTTTGTGATTCGTAATTACATTGATGTGAAGGGGGCCATATCTCTTTACTTCATTTATAATATAAATACATATTCAAATTATTAAGAGGACTTTGAGGCAGGGGAATGTAAAGTGATGATACTTTTCTTTGTGTGAACTGAATTTCTTTAAACAATTATGAGTGCTTAATCAAATATACTGACATTTAGGTTAAACATTTAATGAGCTTCAATTAAAAAAGGAGATGAACAATGATATAATCATGAAGTAAAAATTACAAAAACAGAATACCTAACAGGACTGATACACATAATATTATTGCATGCAGAAGCAAACATTTTCTCATTTCCTCTTGACAAAGTTTTCATCAAAAATCTAACGCAAACAGTGGATTTTCTTATCGATTTCCTATCAACAGTAACCTAAGCTTTTGTTTTATCTCGATGTGAGGCGGAGGAGTGCATTGTGGTGTGGGCCCTGGCTGGCTGTAACCTTAGCCAGGGTGCTGTTTGTGGAAACTATCTGTTGCATGGATCAGCGGTGGGGAATCGCTATCTGTATCCTGGTTGTCAGACGATCGGATTTCCGCCCCTGACGCTCTCTGATATTAGATGATCTTCCGTGGTGTGTGTGAGAGTATGTGTGCGTGTGTGTGTGTATTAGTTCCTATGTGTGTGGCTGTCCATATGAGATGCACATGCGCATACAGTCAGTTATGCGTGTTGTCATCTTGCTTGCCGACATGCGTAAAGGTCAGCAATGTCATTTTGTCCCACGTGGCTGTCTGTCGAAGGGGGTAGGACATGTTGCCACTGGAGACGAGGTCAAAGAGAGCCCAGGCAGGTGACAGCCGGTCAGCCACACTGCCAGAGCAACTCTGTAACAAAACGTGGAGATGTTGTCCTCAGTCAAAAAGCTAATTAAATCTAAATTTACGCCCCCTCCCTACCACCACCACCACTCAATTTCCACTCTGGCTGGAGACATCCACATCAAACCCACAGACAGTGTAACAGGTATAAGCAGACTTTTATTTATGCTATGCAACGCTTCAAGTCTTCATGTTTAATAAAATCAACATGGTACTAAGCCTTCACACGTCTATAGGAGCAGGAGAGACACACATGCATCACACAAGAAAAAATTAAACAGGAAAACTACTCAAAACAGAGCTAATTTCATCAAACCAGTAATACCACTGCTGCCTCTTGAATGCAATTCATTTTTAATGCTCGTCGGTAAGCTGGGTCTGCTTCCCCCCCCATCTCCCTCGTACTGCTTTTAATTACTTTGCTTATTATTGCGTGTTGTTGTTAGACAAAAACAAGGCAGAACTCATTATACATCCAGAGATGAGGAACCTGAATCACTAGCTACAGGGGCCGCTGAGGGGACTCTGTATTTACTTAGAATAAAATACAAACAGAAGAGAGACATAGAGAAACAAAATCGAGTGAAAGCCCAGAGAGGGGAGAATATCACATTAACTTGTTGAAATCATCACCCAATGTAAGCTACTTTACATTCCATATAATAATTCAAGGAAGAGAAAAAAATTGTGACAACAAGGACTCCACACAAAAGACGGCACTGTACTTCTACTTTCTACTTCTTTCTCCTTCAGTTCTCTCTCTTCATTTTCCTTCCCCACTTGCCGCCTCCCTACCCAGACACTGAGACTGCACTGAGTGCTTTTTTATTTTAACGTGAATGAGTGGCCTTGGCCGTCATAAAGGACCCTCGCTTTTATAGACTTGGAGCAGAGTATTTACAAGATAACCCCAGTCCAAGGACAGCGCAAGCTATTTGATACCAGTGTCAGACTCTCCCCTCTCCTCTTCAGTAAAAATCAAAAGCCCAAACATGCCCTCGCCTCTGACAGCACCTCTCAATGTCAGTTGTTTTACTCTGCTCTACTAAAAAGAGATGAGACACTCTGAAATAAGAGGAGAGACAGCTGTGTGTGGCATTTCACAAAGACATCAGTTGTACCTTTTCTTATTTACTTCTTACATTGGCATAATAATGACATTAAATAATAGACGTAGAGATTTATTTAAAAAAATATATTAAAATTGAGGACTGTAGTTTAGCACTGTATATATGTGAAAATAAGTTGCTAGTAATTTGTCTCATTGTGGTCAGAATTGATACAAGGCAAGACATCATAAATAAAAATCAGTCAATAAAATTCATTTATTAAATAAATAAAAAACAGAATTACTATAAAATATACTAAATCTTATATTTCTATTAAGAAGATATATACTTTTCTTTAATGTTTTAGGCCATTTGGATACAACTTAAAATAACTATTTTAGACATGGCTGCTAAAGAGAATGATAACAAATGTAAGAAAATG